ATGTGACATTAATATCCCTTGCTTTGCTATACCACGTTTGGGTTTATCTTTCCTCTCTTTGGTAGCTTATTCATCTGACAGAATACGCTGTGTGGATTGATACAGTGAGATAGCACACCAGCTATAAGAAAACTTTTGAGACAGCTTCCATATTTTTCTATTTCTTGTCCTCACTAGCTATTGCCAGCAGCACTAGCATGAAAAACTCTCTTCACAATCTCTCAGGCAGCATCATTGACTTTAATTGGAATAATGAAGAATAGGCTCTACTAAAAGTGAGAAAGGAACTACTCAGTGTGAGCAAAGGCATGACAATCTAGTCTAACAGTAGAAGCTAGGAATTTCTGGCTCTTAATATCTCTCTCTCATATAGATCCCTTGGGGTCTTGAGCAAGTCAATAAAGGCCAGATTTTCAATAGCGCTTAGCATCGAAAATGGAGGCTTGATTTTTCAGAAGAGCTTAGCTCCCAATTATCCACCATGCTGAGCTCTTCTTAAAATCTGATCATAGATATCACAGTGGGATCTATTGGGTGCTGAGTGCTTCCACCTTTTTTAGGTATCTAAGGGTATGTCTACACCAGGGCCAGCTCCACGCACCAGCTCAGCAAGCAGGTGTTTGGAGCGGCCAACGGAGAGGGGGCGGCACGTCTGGCTTTTCGGCGGCGGGTCCCTCACTCCCTCTCGGAGCGAAGGACCTACCGCCGAATTGCCGCCGAAAAATGAAGCAGCGGCGGCAGAGCTGCCGCCGAAGTACTGCAGATTGCGATCGCGCCTTTTTTTTTTTTTTTTTTTTTTGCTGCTTGGGGTGGCAAAAACCCTGGAGCCGGCCCTGGTCTACACGGCAAAGAAAAACACGTGGTTGGCCTGTGTCAGCTGACGCGGGCTTGGGCTGGGGCTGTTTTATTGCTGTGTAGACTTCCAGTCTCAGGCTGGAGCCTGAGCTCTAGGACCCTCCACCCCACAGGGTCTTAGAGCCTGGGCTTCAGCTGAGCCCAGAAGTCTACACAACAATGAAACAGCCCCGCCGCCCAAGCCCCGCAAGTCTCGAGTTCACTGGCACAGGCAAGCTGCGAGTTTTTCTTTGCTGTGTAGACATACCCTTAAAGGGATATGAGTTCTTTTGGAAAATCTGACCCTTAGTCTCTGCCTCATTCCCCCCCGCCCAGGCCAAAACAAAAGTAACACCTGCCTATTTCAGGTGTAATGGGAGGATTAAAGTTTGTAAATACCTCTACAACATTACTTTATAGAATTATTTGGTTTTAAATATGCTTGGCGGTTAATTTACAGCTGCTTATGATATCTTAATTGACTGATTGTGTCTCAGTTTCTTTGGGAAAGGTTTGCCACAAATGGAACAGTAACTACAGATGGCAGAATATAAAGCAAGATCAGAAAACCCACTAAAGTATATAGAAAGAATAGAAACTGAAGGGGAAAAATTTGAGTTAACATGACCTAGTCAAAGCTATTCCTTTCTGTTAAAATGAGATGAATGAGGAACTGGCCGTTCTAAAGAGAATTTTTCAGTTCACCATTCTGACTCAAGTACATCAAGCTTGACTTGGGGTAAGACATGAGTAATGCCAAAGTGAAACATTTTTTTTATTGCAGTACTTTTCCAGTATTTGACAATCTACTTTAGAACTTATGCCAGTAAGACTGTATGACATCACACACAGGGCTCATCAGGGTGGGAACAGGAATCTTACACAGATGTACCTGTGTCCTGGCTGCATGAAAAAGTTTTACCAATTATACAGCTACAGTTATACTGATATTTTGTTCTATATGGACACTTTTTATTCAGGCATAGGAGCAGCTTTTTCCAGGTTAGCTTAACCCCCTTCACAAGCAACTTAAGCTAAACCATAAGGCTTGGTCTACACTAAACCCCCAAATCGAACTAAGGTACGCAACTTCAGCTACGTGAATAACGTAGCTGAAGTTCGAAGTACCTTAGTTCGAACTTACCTAGGTCCACACGCGGCAGGCAGGCTCCCCCGTCGACTCCGCGGTACTCCTCTCGTCTAGCTGGAGTACCGCAGTCGACGGCGAGCACTTCCTGGTTCGACTTATCGCGTCCAGACAAGACGTGATAAGTCGAACCCAGAACTTCGATTGCCAGCCGCCGAACTAGCGGCTGGGTGTAGACATACCCTAAGAAAGGTCCTCTTATACCAGAATAAGTGTCCACACTGGAGTTATGCTGGTATAACTAGATCAGTTTGAATTTGCACCTTCAGTTACACCAAGAAAAAACATTTGCATGGAGACAAGCCTTTTTCAAGTTGAGGATTCAATACTTTAGACAGGTGTTGTTATTTAGGAGTTTGTCAACTATTCATCCAGTCTTTTCCTGAACCTCTTTTGGTCTCTTCTCTATCCTCCTCACTGATCAGATGCAGAAAGAGGACCTCTCTGCTTCTCCTTGAGTTGCTAGAGCTGCTCCGTAGGAAAGGAAGAATGCACTCAGTCCTGTTGCTGCTCACAGCAGCTCTACCTAAGAGGAGGTGGAGGAGTGAGCACAGGCTTGAGTGGAGGGCTGTATGATGAGCGGTAATACACCTTTTGGCCAACAGGACTTGATGTCCGGAGTTAGGAGCTGAACAGCCTCAAGGCGAAGGGCAAACAAAAGCAGACAGTAAAATCAACTTTCCTATGCTCCTCTGTGCTGCTCTCAGTGGATACTGAATGTCTCAGGACTTTAAAACATAGATTTTGAATAGACAAAGTGGGAGATTTCAGGTCAAAAGAGAGATTCTCCCATCAAGCTGAGTGAGCAGTCGATTCAAAAATAGCTTATACAAGTGTGACTGTAAGAAAATTAGAAAATAGGGGTTGTTGTTTTAAAAGCTGTGCTCTCAAGCAGGAAAGACAGAAAAACTCTACTAGAGAAATGTTCTCCCAATCTTGGAAGGAATAGATTACATTTTTTTTCTCTTCAACTATAGTATATTTGAGATTCAAGACATTCAAAATAGTCTCACAATCAGATTTCCAAAGGGGATATGAACAACTGACATTTGTAGTAAGCACTATCCACTAAATATTCGAGTCTTGGCTTTAGTTTAAATCAGCTGTCCTTACTCAAATTCCACTAGTTACTGGAGCTCGTATCTCCCTTAAATACTGTAGAATTCCTCCTTGGTGCCATACTGCTATGAGTCAGTTATACATTCATTTGCAAATGTCATCCTTCCTATGTACATACCAAGCTACAGCACACACATTTCCTAAAAATTCCCCTCAAACTTAACAGAACTACATTATTTATTATTTGTAATACCTAAAGGCCACATTCTGGTTTGGAGCCCCATTGGCCTAAGTACTGTATAAATATGTAGAAAGATATGGTTTCAGCCCCGAAAAGCTTATATTCTAATTTAATGACAATGTCAAGGGATGAACAAATGTGCTAAAACAGCAGTTGGCAAAGGAAGGTAGCAGCTACAGCAGTGGTGGGCAACCTGTGGCCCATGGGCCGCATGCAGCCCATCAGTGTAATCTGATTGCGGGCCGCAAGACATTTTGCTCACGTTGACAGTCCGCAGGCACGGCCTCCCGCAGCTCCCAGTGGGCCGCGGTTCGCTATTCCTGGCCAACGGGAGCTGCAGGAAGCGGCAGGCCAGTGTATAGAGAGAGGAAGAATGATTCTCTACTACCCTTCCATAGGCAAACTGGAAGTCTGAATGGAACCCTTACAGGACCATGCTGTTTATATTCTAACAGAAAGCACTTTGTTAGTCATAGTTTTATTTCATATATATGAAGGGAAAGCACATGTGTAATCCTGCTTCTAGGTAAATTAATAGCAAAGTAGAAATTGAAAAAAGTCTTGCATGGCTTATGCAGTCTGTTTTAGTGTGATAAATGCAAATGACAGTCTCCATTCCATAGGGGGACTGACTGAAGTACATGGAAATGTACAGAGGCAGGGGGAGGGAGGCGTTTGCACCTCAAATTTTGGATGATCTTCCTGTCATAGAAATTTTTGTCCGTTCCAGCTGAGGAATAAGGAGAGACGGACACAGCTAGCCAAGCAAGGAGCCCCGGGAGGGGCGATCCGTTTATTTCAATTGCAATTGGGTTCAAGCTCATAAGTTAGCAAGAACAAAGAAAACACTTACACCAAAGCATTATATGCAGTTGCTTATGATAATCTATCGCTCTATGATTGGCCAAAATTTGCCATCATTACCATACATAATTAGCAAGCTACATGTATTTGCCCCTCTTGTGACCCCTTATTGTTCATCTATTTGCCCCCTTCTCCTTGCTTATTTTGCAAACTAAGCGGTTAGCTATCTACGGGACTCAGGCACAGAAAGGTCCATTGTCTCCAGGTTTGGAGTTTGGCTACATTTCCTCTTGAAGGAACTTCCTGACTACCTATAGCTTAAAGTAAAGTCTATGAGTCTATAGCTGACCCTGCGTTTTGTCCTTCTTCTTTCTCCCATGTGTACGTGACAAATTTGCCCCCTGGCAGTTAAGTAGAATAATTTTATATCATTCCTAAACTTAACTCAGCACACAATATGCCCATCTAATGGCTTTCAGGATTAAAACCTAAGGCATAGTTTTGCGGGGCAGAGATTGCTCCCGCCCTCCTCGCAGGCGATGGGTTTCCTCCTACAGCCTGAAGCACACCAGGGCAGTGGTGGCAGGGGCTCGCTCAGCCCCCGTCTCGCTGCTGGGTGAAGGGCAAGGCCCCTTGCTCGCTCTCCCCTCTCTGGGGCCAGCGCTTTGCCCTCTGGCTTGTCAGCCACTGACCCATCTCCCGGCGCGGAGCGCGGGGCCCAGCCCGGCGGCGGTCCGACCAGAGCCCCTGGCAGCGCAGGGACCCCCGCCTTGGCCGAGCCAGACAGCGCCCCTCACCCACCAGGCCTCAGCCCAGGCCGGGAGCTGGCACAGCCCCGCCGGGCCGCAGCGCCTCTGTGCCCCGCAGCGCAGGATGCGCCTGCCCGGCCCTGCGGCGCCCGGCGCTGCTCCTTACCGCGTTGGGAGGCGCGCCCTCGCCGCCGCCGCCGGTTTGCCCGTTCAGCTCGAGGACCTCGGAGGCCGAGGCCATGGTGCCGTGGCCGGCCGGCTGCTCGGCCGCAGCTCGCTTGCCCGCAGGGGCCGCTTATCCGCCGGCCCAGCCGCGCCCGGTATCTGCCCTCCCAGCGCGCCGCACACACACATGCGGCGGCCGGGCCGGAGAGTCCCGCCTTGGAGCTCGCTCCGCAGGGGCTGCTTCCCGTTCCGCCCGGGATTCCCCTTAGTCCCGGCCGGCAGCGCGGTGCGGCTGCCCGGGCAGAGCTGCAAGTGTCTGGGTGAGTGGCCAGAGGATGTTATAAAACGTTGGCGGCTCTGCCGGGCAAGGAGCCAGACCAGAAGAAGAAGGGGGCGTCCGGATTAACTCTAGAGGCAGCAGGCTTGAAACAAACAACAGGAACTATTTCTTCACCCGACCCAGGCACTCCTTGCTCGGGATGCTGTGAGGGCTAAAAGGATCACTGGCTTCAAAAAAAGCATTAGATAACATTCCTGGAGGATAGGTCCAGCGATGGCTACTGGCCATGCTCAGGGATGCAGCCCCATGCTGCAGGTGTCCCTAAACCTCTTACTGTCAGAATCTGGGAGTGGATGACGGGGACTGGATCACTCGATAAATTGCTCTATTCTGGTATTCCCTCTGAAGCATCTGGTGCCAGCCCCTGTTGGAAGACAGGGTAATGGGCTGGATGGACCATTGCTGTGACTCAGTGTGGCCGTTCTTGTCAGTCTTCCTGGAAGAGGGGAGAATAATAATCTATGGCCAGGACTACTCTAGGAACGTTTATCCTATAGCAGTGTGGTCAGGCGAAGAATTAAAAACAACCAAACCACCCATTTCCCCCAAAAGCCCTAGTCTAGACTCAGTTCTGCTGGCAAAAACTTACAAGTAGAACCCCTATCTGACAAACTAATTGGGGATTGAGGACTTCACAAAATCAGAAAGTTCATAAAATGGAATATCTCAAATTCACAATAGGTGCAGAGCATATATTGCAGTATGGAGCATTGCTTCATTTTCTTCTTGTCCTGCAAACCATTGCAAAGCCATTTCCAATACACCAGAATGTGAAGGGATGTCAACTTGTGCTTCAGTGACATCACTTTCATTATGTGACTTTTTTTTTTCCTTTCAGGAAAAACTGTATAACTGGTTGTTTGTACTCTTCTAGTGTAGATACAGCTTATCTCAGCAAAAGAGTGCTGGTATAAAGGAAGTGTGTCTATACTAGGAGGGGGTTGCCAGTATAGCAATACCAGCAAATCTTTTCTAGTGTAAACAAGGTCTAAGTCTCTCAGCACTCTTTGGGGGTAGATAAGAGTTACCCCCATTTTACAGATTGTTGAGGAACCACTTATTCAAGATCACAAAGTAAATTTAGTATTCCTAATCCCAAATATTCAAAAATCCTGAGATTGGTTTTCAAAATGAGATGGTTATTCTTTAAATATATTTTTAGTTCTTGCTTTCTGGTTTACAAACCTTTAGGACACACTCAGGACAGGTTTTCAAGCTTTTCTTTGGAACTGGGAGGGCTAAAAATTTAATTAAAAAAAGAAAGCTGACATTCTCATAAAATAACATGACTCCAGGAGCTGGTGCATAAAGAAAAACACCAAATGTAAGACTCTCAATAAAATAACAAGAGTTGGTCACACTGCAAGTTAGAAGTAGATGGTAATGGAACCCACAAATCTTGATTCCTATCCTAGCCCACTGCACTAACCACACTCTGCAAACATCTTTTAGATAAGTGGCCATTGTAATATACAAAACCTTATCAGTCTTTTAGTACAAGGACTATGCACTTCCTTGAAGTTCACTGTATGATGATTTTTAAATGAAAATAATCTTGCATAGTGCTTGCATTCAAAACACTTTACAAAATAGGGCAAAGATGTGCAGACATGAGGAACTGCACACAAGTGAATAGTTTCAGTGGGACTATCCACAGGCATAAATATGTGCAAGGTTGGGTCTTATGTCAGGACCTGAATTGCTTGTGATACCTATCACTGGCATGCAAGGAGATGGCAGCCAGCATGTAGCATACTATAGAACAATCAGGGATGAGCCATTTTCACCAAGGAGATGAAGGCAAACCCCCTACTCTGACAAAAAACACCAAGTAATCTTTAATGTCCATGCAGAGCAGATAAGAGCTCTGTTTAAGATGTTTAACCCCTTACATAGTAAGTAAATCCAATTATCTTCCTTACTAGGAGGCTTTGTTGATCCTGCTGGTTAATGGAGGGCTTTGGCAGATAAGCCATTCCTTCCAGGTTGGGCCGTGTAGAAATAGATGTTATAATTCAATGGGTCAAACACAGCCAAATATGACTAACCTAATATACATCAAGAAATGGGGCTATACAGGAACTTGTACTTTTTGGGTGGATGAAGGCGCTTGACCTTAGACTTTGTATATCTTAACAGTAGAATAGTTATTTACGTTGTAAATATCCTTTTTATTCATGGCCTACAAAGACCTTCAGATAAATGTCTGAAAAAATTGCATTTTAGAAAAAAATTTAATGAACCAATAACACTAGGAAGATTAAAAAGTCACCAATTTGAAATTTATTCTCTTAAAAAAATAAAATAAATTTCAAATTGGTGACTTTTTAATCTCAGTGTTATTGGTTCATTAAATGTTCTTCTAAAATGCAATTTTTTCAGACATTTATCTGAAGGTCTTTGTAGGCCATGAATAAAAAGGACATTTACAACCTAAATACTAATCTGTATCCTCCTTCCAATGTTTGTGGGCTTGCAATCTCCTTGTCCTATTTTTCTAGAAATATTTCTCTTCTCTATTACTGTGTGAATGACCCACATAAAAAGGAATGACTGACTGTATAGTGTACAGATTTTATGGTAAAGGACACCAGCACAGATCCCTAAAATAGGTAGAAATAGTGAAACTGACTACACAAAGTGACTACAACTGCAAAAAGTAAACAATGTGAAAAGAAATAGAGGAAAATAATTTCAATCACTTTTTTCCTGATTTTTTTTTTTAATTTACTACTCTTACAAGTAACATCTATGATTACCTAAGATTGAAAGAGTATAGATTAAAAAATTACATGGACTCTTCCTTTAACATACACACACATAATCCATTCTCAAATAGCAGCATAGCTACAACTGAAATTGCTTTCCAACAGTGAAAAGGCTTTACACAGTTACAGGTTGATTGTTCAGTAGCTCTATTCTTATGCCGTTTAGATCTGAGTAATTGTATCTAAACATAGAATAATTCCTTAGTATATAATCCTATAAATTTCCATTATTAAAAATGTTGGCTCTGGCTGGGACTCATTCATCCCCCAATTTAAGTTAGAGCAACTGAGATTATCCACAGCATAGAGACACTCCAACTTTCACCTTTTAGGCTTTGCTCCTTATGAAGAGATGTGGGCTAGAACTGCTACACTACCAAGAGATTCCTTCATCATACCTAATGATCTCCAGCAGCTTCATGGCTTCTTTGCACCAACAGACAATCGCTAAAGGGCTGGCAGAATGGAGAACTTGGCTCTTTGCCAGAGGATGGTGTGAAGGCCAAGACTATAACAGGGTTAAAAAAAGAACTAGATAAGGTCATGGAGGATAGGTCCATCAATGGCTATTAGCCAGGATGGGCAGGGATGGTGTCCCTAGCCTCTGTTTGCCAGAAGCTGGGAATGGGCGACAGGGCATGGATCTCTTGATGATTACATATTCTGTTCATTCCCTCTGGGGCCCCTGGCATTGGCCACTGTCGGAAGCCAGGATACTGGGCTAGATGGACCTTTGGTCTGACCCAGTATAGCTGTTCTTATGTTCTTAAAGTGCTAGCTATATACACCTCTACCCCGCTATAACGCGGTCGTGGGGAGCCAAAAATCCCTACTGCGTTATAGCTGAAACCCCGTTATATCGGGGTAGCAGCAGCAGGGCTCCAACGGTGATTTAAAGAGCTCCGGGCTCCAGCCACTGTGGGGAGCCCCAGGCCCTTTAAATCGCCGGCAAGCCCCCTGCCGCAGCCCTGGGGTAGGGGCGGCAGGGCCCCAGCGGTGATTTAACGGGCCCCCGGCTCCGGCCGCTGCGGGGAGCCCGGGCCCTTTAAATCGCCGGCGAGCCCCGCTGCCGCAGCCCCGGGGTAGCAGCAGCAGGGCTCCAGTGGTGATTTAAAGGGTCCGGGGCTCCCCGCAGCAGCCGGAGCGCCGGACCCTTTAAAGCGCCGCCAGAGCCCCGCTGCTACCGCGCTATACGCGAACCCGTGTTATATCGGGTCGCGTTATAGTGAGGTAGAGGTGTAGTAGTATTAATCACGAAATTAAACTCATTCCTCTGCACCAGATTATTGTAGCCAACTCCAAACAGTATATGATCTTATCCAGCAAATGTGCTGCAAGGTTTGGGTGTCAGTTTAAGAGTGGAATTCTGATGTTCTCTTTGAATTTCATGGCGTGTTGTGATTTGGCGGAGCCTTTACACTTCCTGTAACATGGTTTATTATGTACAAATCAGTATGCATTTCAATATAGGATTGCACTGAGTCACTGCTGCTAATCATTTTCTATTGGACTTTACAGTATTTTATAAAAAACTGATTAATCAAGCAACTATCAGCAAGTCACTAAACTTTTAGGCTTGCTACATTGCAGATAAAAGTGTGTGAACTGTCAAACATGTCTGAATGCAAACAAGCACAGGTTAGGCTTCCATATTTACTGCTAAAGGTTACTGAAGAAAAAACTTTACAGATGAGTTCAATCCAATTTGTCATTAACTTCCTGTCTATAAAAAGTGTAATATACATCAGAAAAAAGAAAAAAAAATTATACAGCTTCTCATGATAAAAAGCAGCAGCCATTTGTTTTAGTGGAATATCTTGGACGACTTAAAGAAAATTTCCATAATCTACAAATCTATACTGATTCATTGTGGACTTTAAAAAAAACACAGCTGGATGGAAAATCTGTATTTAGAGAAGACAGAAGTAAAGCTTTACAGCATTATGGACTCTCAGAAAAGTGAGAAAACACCATAGAATAATATTTGGAATAACATTTTGAAAACAAAGGTGTACCCGCAACTCCCCTGGTTATGTAGTGGAAATATACAACAAGATTTGGAGAGAGTAAAAGAGCTTTAAAAAAAACCCCACGCACATACTGCTGCTGCTTTGGACCACCATATCTAAGGTGACAAAGGGACATGACTGAAGCATTTACCAGGACAATGGGAAGGAATTGTGCAAGGGGTATTGTGGTGGCTTGTCAGGGGTGGGCCTGGCAATTCTGCCTA